CAATTTTTATTGCATTTGCTTTTGAGCACTTAAAATATAAATTCTTTGCCTAAGGCAATGTCTAGAAGAGTATTTCCTAGGTTTTCTTTTAGGATTTTTAGAGTTTGGGGTCTTACATTTAAGCCTTTACTCCATCTTGAGTTAATTTTGGTACACAGTGAGAGGTAGGAGTCCAGTTTCATCCTTCTGCATATGGTTAGCCAGTTTTTCCAGCATCGTTTATGGAATACGGAGTCCTTTCCCTATTGTTTATTTTTGCCAATTTTGTTGACGATCAGGTGGTTGTAGGTGTCTGGCTTAATTTCAGAGGTCTCCATTCTGTTCCATTGGTCTATGTGTCTATGTTTGTACCAGTACCATGCTGTTTTGGTTAGTGTAGCTTTATAGTACAGTTTGAAGTTGGGAGATGTAACGCCTCTGGCTTTATTCTTTTTGTTTAGGATTGCCTTGGCTATTCAGGCTCTTTTTGGGTTCCATACAAATTTTAGAATAGTTTTTCTCTAATTCTGCCAAAAAAAAAAAAAATATATATATATATATGTAATTTGTAGATTGTTTTGTGTAGCATGACATTTTAAAGATATTGAATCTTCCTATCCATGATCATAGAATGCTTTTCCATTTGTATAGTTTATGATTTCCTTCTCCTTACAGAGATCATTCACCTCCTTCATTAGATGTATGCCCAGGTACTGTGAGTGTGTGTGGCTATTGTAAACGGGATTATGTTCTTGATTTGATTCCCAGCTTGAAGATTACTCGTGTATAGAAGTGCTACTGATTTTTGTGCATTGATTTTTTTATCCTGAGACTTTGCTGAATTCATTGATTAGGTCTAAGAGTCTTTTGGTAGAATCTTTAGGGCTTCCCAGGTATAAATTACATTGTCAGTGAAGAGACATAATTTCCAACACTAGCATTCCCAACACTATGTTAAATATGAGTGATAAGAGTGGGCATCCTTGTCTTATTCCAGTTCTCAAAGGGAATGCTTCCAGTTTTTTGTCAATTCAGTATGATGTTGGCTGTGGGTTTGTCATAGATGGCTCTTATTATTTTGAGGTATGTTCCTTTAATGCCTAGTTTTTTTGAGAGTTTTTATCATGAAGGGATGTTGGATTTTATCAAATGCTTTTTCTGCATCTACTGAGATGAACATATGATTTTTGTTTTTAATTCTGTTTATGTGGTGAATCACATTTATTGATTTGCATATGTGGGACAATCCTTGCATCCCAGGAATAAAACCGACTTGACTGTGGTGAATTAACTTTTTGATGTACTGCTGGATTTGGTGTGCTAGTATTTTCTGAGGATTTTTGCATCTGTGTTCAGGTACAATGGTCTGTAGTTTTCTTTTTTGTGTCTTTGTCAAATTTTGGTATCAGGATCATACTAGTTTCATAGAGTGAGCCAGGAAGTAGTCCCCCGTCCTCAATTTTTTGGAGTACTTTCAGTAGGGTTGGTACCAGCTGTTCTTTCTATGTCTGGTAGAATTCAGCTGTGAACCCATTTGGTCCACGGCTCTTTTTTTTTTTTTTTAACTGTTTCAATTTCCTTACTCATTATTATCTGTTCAGGATTTGTTTCTTCCTGGTTCAATCTTGGGAATTTGTGTTTCCAGGAATTTATCTATTTCCTCTAGACTTTCTAATTTGTGTACATAGAGATGTTCATAATATTCTCTGAGCATCTTTTGTATTTCTGTGGGATCAATTGTGATGCCACTTTTGTAATTTTTGATTGTGCTTATTTGGATGTCTTTTTTTGTTAATCTAGCTAGTGGTTTATCCATCTTGTTTATCTTTTCAAAAATGAACTTTTTGCTTCACTGATCCTTTGAATGGTTTTGGGGGTCTCCATTTCATTCAGTTCTGCTCTGATTGTAATTATTTCTTCTGTTAGCTTTGGGTTTAGTTTGTTATTATGTTGCTAGTACTTTTAGTTGCAAGGTTAGGTTGTTAATTTGAGCTATTTCTATCTTTTTGATATAGGCATTTAGCACTATAAACTTTCCTCTTAACCCTGCTTTTGCCACATTCCAGAAGTTTTGGCATATTGTGACTCTATTTTCATTTATTTCAAATGCTTTTTTTTTTTTTTTTTTGAGACAAAGTAACGCACTGTTGCCCAGGCTGGAGTGCAGTGGTGCGTTCTTGGCGCACTGCAATTCCACCTCCCAGGTTCAAGAGATTCTCCTGCCTCAGACTCCTGAGTAGCTGGGATTACAGGCACCTACCATTACGCCCAGCTAATTTTTTGTATTTTTAGTAGAGATGGGGTTTCACCATGTTGGCCAGGCTGGTCTCGAACTGCTGACTCTGTGATTCACCCACCTTGGCCTCCCAAAGGAGGACAGTGGGAGTACCTTCCCACTGTGACTTCTCTTCAGCTGCAGAATTGTTCTTAAATAGGTTATCTACAAAACCTGCAGTACAATCATACAGAGTATGGAAGTAGAACCTTGGCTCTTAGTGTTTTTGTTGTCTCATGCCTGAAAACCTGAAATACAAAACATCACCTTTGCTGACTAAGAAAGTTCAGTAGTGAGAATGCCAGAGGAACTCAAAATTCCTTATGCTTGAACTATAACCACAGGAGTGGAAGTATCGGAATCTACAGGAAACTCAGGTCATGGAAAGCTAGTAGTGTTGGTATAAATGTGTACGTGTGTTGTGTGTACATGTTCCCAGCATTAGGGGACAACAGTATTACTGGTATATTTCTTATGGATCTTGTAGAAAAAAAGAAAATCTTAATATGATTGTATAAGAGACCAAATATCGTGGCTCATGCCTGTAATCCCAGCACTTTGGGAGGCCGAGGCAGGTGAATCGCAAGGTGAGGAGTTCAAGACCAGCATGACCAACATGGTGAAACTCTGTCTCTACTAAAAATATAAAAATTAGCCAGGCGTGGTGGCTCATGCCTGTAATCCTAGCTACTCAGGAGGCTGAGGCAGGAGAATTGCTTGAACTCGGGAGGCGGACGTTGCAGTGAGCCGAGATCGTGCTACTACACTCTAGCCTGGGTGACAGAGCAAGACTCCATCTCAAAAAACAAACAAATGAAAAAAGACCAAATTCATCTTCATCAATTATTCTTTATGTCAAATTTTACACAGTACATTTTCTCCTGTGCATATCAATCTATATCAGCAATTGCTCTATGCTACATTTAATTATACTTCTTCAGCATTCACATAGTCTTCACAATTTGTTCTTTGTGTAGTATGTTATGTGCTCAAAGATTTAAAAAACAGAAAAAACATTTTCTTGACCTCCCTAATGGGTAGGCTTATAGATGAAAGTATATTGATATCCTGCACTTTAGTTACTCGTTGAACAGATAGGCATGAAATTTAAAGAAAAAGTATGCATTTAACTACTACCTAAATAAAGTATGAATCATTACTTTGATTATTGATGGTATCACTCTTACAAAAGTGTTTTATATTAGGACATATCCATTCAGCTATTTTACATAACCAATGGAAATAATGTAATCCTATATATGTAATTACATTATTAATAAAAAGATATAAAAATAATACCTACTATCATAAATCAAAATCAATATAAGCCTAAAATAGCCTATTTTTAGGCCAGGTGCGGTGGTCACGCCTGTTAATCCCAGCACTTTGGGAGGCTGAGGTGGGTGGATCACTTGAGGTCAGAAGTTCGAGACCAGCCTGGCCAACATGGTGAAACCCCATCTCTACTAAAAGTACAAAAATTAGCCAGGTGTGGTGGCGGATGCCTGTAATCCCAGCTACTCAGGAGGCTGTGGCAGGAGAATTGCTTGAACCCAGGAGAAAGAGGCTGCAGTGAGCCAAGATTGTACCACTGTACTCCAGCCTGGGCAACAGAGTAAGCCTCCATTTTGGGGGGGAAAAAAAAAGCCTATTTTAAAAAAACAAAGACCCCACTCCTCAAAAGTATTAGAGTATTTTAAAATCAGGTTTTTGGACCAGATGCAGTGGCTCACGCCTTTGATGCCAGCACTTTGGGAGGTTGAGGTGGGTGGATCACTTGAGGTCAGGAGTTCGTGACTAGCCTGGCCAACATGGTGAAACACCATCTCTACTAAAAATACAAAAAATTAGCTGGATGTGGTGGTGTGCACCTGTAATCCCAGCTACTTGGGAAGCTAAGGTGGGATAATTGCTTTAACCCAGGAGGTGGAGGTTGCAGGGGGCCAAGATCATGCCATTGCACGCTAGCCTGGGTGATAGAACAAGACTCTGTCTCAAAAAAACCCAAAAACAACCACAACAAAAAAAAAAACAGGTTTCTGGAAAGAAAAACATACATGGCTCAACTCGTACTCCTGTAAGTCAGTTGCCTGCAAAGAGAAAGTATTCACACCCTTCCACCATGCCAGAATTCTTAGAGGAGCAGGACCCCATTTGGCACTGTCTATCATGGGGTAGATAAGCCTATCTAATTCTGAGGTTCAGTATCAGGAATCGCCTGCATACAGATGAAAGCTTCATTCTCTATTTTATCCTTTATCAGTGTAAAAGTAACATTTTGCTTCTCTATCTGGTAACTCTTTTGCTTTATAGGTTGGTTCAGGACTTGAATGCAGAAAAGCATTGATATTTATTTGACCTCAAAGATCCCAATACTCTCGGAAGCATTTCAACTTTTTCTAGGATAGGAAGAAAAGAACAATGCCAACTAAATGTGACGTGAAGTGACAAATGTGACATAATGCTTGTTTAATGGCATTCTTTGTTTTTCACGTTTTGAGACAGCGAAAACTAATAAAGTAGATGAATTTGGATGGGAATGTGGGTCTTTTACCTCTCAATCAGACAAATGGTCTACTTTCTTTTGTTACTATACAATACCATTTTGCCAAAGAAAGAAATGTTCTTTCCTAAGCCATGGAGGCTAAGTTTGGCAGCACACCAAAGTTATAATTTGATACTAGATGTTAAACCTGGAAGTGAATTTTAGTTTTTTGGCTCTGTCATTTATGAAATGGCAAGTTACCTTTATAAGTTGGGACAGTGTCCAACCTTCCTTTTTTAACTTGTTGTCTCTCCAAAGGCCGGACTATTGCCACAGGCTGCACTTTGAATGAATTAAAATCCCGTTTGTAGGTAGTACCAAGATCAATCTTCTCTTGTTTTGGTTTATATTCTTCTGGCACATGGTGAGGCTGTTTAACTATTTCATAAGGATGATAATCCAACCCGAAATATATAAATTTGAAACATAGCCTCACAAGTTCTTTTATTTCTAAGTATTTCAATGAAGTATGGAAAATGTCAAGGCTTTTTTTTTTACTTGGAAAGTCTGAGAAGATATTAACATCAGAATAGTTGATAAACTACTTGAAAGAAGTAAATGAATTTTCATAAGGTCCTATCCAGTGACTAAATATCTTGAGAAAAGTAAATATATCAAAAATCCTAGTTTTTAAAACATCATTACAATAGATCTCAGTTAATTGGATCTTCAGTAAACAATATCCTCAAGTAATTGATTTTTTTCTAACCTGGAAGGAAATTTCAGGTAAAATTTACTAAACCTGAAAAGTTTAAAAAATATATTCCCCCTGAGTCCACTTTGTCAAAGTCCTTATTCATCCTACTTAAAGTCTCCAGCAAATTATTTTGGCATACTTTCTTCTTTTTGAATTCATGCTGTTTTCTCGCTTATTGTTAAATGATTAGTAACTCTGGTCTTTAGACATAAATCACATTCAGATTATAGATATGAATGTTCCTCATCTTTGGATGTCCCAGAATTCCTTGTCATGGATGGATGCCAGCTGGTAATGCAGCCAACCTGGGTGCTATATAACATTATGTTACAGAAGTAGTACTGCAGACACTGAGGTAAAAACTGAGGAATGGAGAAGAACACAAACTTAGACTGATCAGACCGCCTACGTCCAAATCCTGGCTCTGTCATATACTAGCTGCAGGACCTTGGATAATTTCATTAACCTGTTTATGCCCCAGTTTCTTTATATATAATATGGGACAATAATATCTTCTATCTCACAGAGTTGTTTTTAAGGATATACACACACGCTTTTAAGACTGCTTGGTACATAGTAAGATCAATATGGTAGCCACTACTGTTACTACCCCAAGACTTCATGGATTGCTTTTTTCTTCTGGACTCTATTGGCACATCACTCATTTTGTGATTAAACTATCTTGTATTAATCAATATTTGTTGCATATGTCTGGAAGTTCTCCAAAGAACCCAAACCCCTCACTGAATTCTTCTATTTACAACATAACTTCTTAGACTAATTAACTGTTTTCTCACCACTTCCAATCCATTTCACTCTTGTTTCCAGGACTGCCACTTCCCTAATACAGCTCTAAGGTTCATCATGTCTTCCATGTGATTAAATTCATCGAACATTTTTAATCCTCATCTTACTTGACCTCTCCAGTAGTAACTGACATTATTGTCCACACTGTCTGTTTCTAGGAAACTTGCTCTTCCTGACTTCCTTATTATTTCTTGCCAGTCTCCTATGCAACTTCATCTACCTTTACTCGGTCATTAAATACATGTTAGCATTCCTCAAGACTTGGACCTACCTACACATACTTCTTTTCATCCACTGTTCACTCCTGAGGATAACTCTTCCACTCCCACAGCTTCGATTACTACCTAGATTGAAATAACCCTCAAATTTACATCTCAGCTTAGACCTCTTCTCTGAGCTCCATACCGGCATCTATGATGGTCTCTTGGATATTCAGTGGCAACTCAAAACTTCATATGTCCCAAATCAACTCATTATTTCCCCTTAATAAATGTGGTCCTTTTTGCTTGTTCTCTATTTAAGTGAATGCTATCACCATCGCTTCAGACAGATAGTCAGAAATCTAGGACTCACCCTTCATACTTCAATTCTCTCCCCTATCTAGTCCATCGTCAACTACTGTCAATTTTGCCTCATAAATCTCTCTCAAATCTAACCACTTTTCTCCACATCTGCCACTACTATAATATGCAAAGTTTTTGCAACAGCTCATTTGAATCACTTCAATAACTTTCCAAACTCATTTACCCACATCCACTCTAGTTCTCCCTCCAATCTTTTCTCCACAGGGCACCTGAGTAATTCTTTCCCCTGTAAATCTGATCAGGTCATTCTTGCCCTTATCTCCCTGGCCTCTTCCTTAACTTCCTTCCTCCCCAACTCTACCCTCTATCAAAAAAACAAAGCAGAAAAATTTTCATGGCTTCTTATTACTGTAAGGACATAGACGACACTGAACATGGCTTAAAGGCTCTGCCTGGTCTCCTTCACTAGCCTCAGCTCTCACCACGCTTCCTCTTGCTTTCTCTGCTCCAGCTGGCCCTCTTTGATACTTTTCTCCCTTCCATGCTCCTTCCTGCTACATGTTTCTCTCTCTCTCTCTCTCTCTCTCTCTCTCTCTCTGCTTGGAATGCATTTCCTTCCTCCTCTTAATCCAGCTAATTTAATATCCTTCAGGTTTTGACTTATTTTTCTTATTTCCCTGATAAAGTCAAACTCTTGTTCTGGATGTCAAGGTACCTGTGCCTATCCTTCATAGATCTTATCACTGTTGCAATTTTAGACTTATTTTGAGTAATGTTTTTGATTACCATCTCTAATAGGTTGCAACATCTGTCAGCACAGAGATCATGACTGCTTTTGATCACCACTGTATCCCAGGTGTCTAGTATAGTACTTGATGCTTAACAAATGCTTAATAATTTTTTATTTAATGAATGAAGAGTAGTAGAAATCACATACCTCTGCCTCCCAAGACATGTCAGTTGTTCTTTGCTCTTCCCAAATACTAACTAGAGGGGAATAGGCTAAAATGCAGTCAGGAAGTGAGAGAATCAGGAAGGGAAAAGCAAAGCAAAAGCTTAGAACTCTCAGTTTCTCTGGTTAGACTAGTTAAGTGTTAGAAAGTATACCTCCAAACCCAAAGCCGCTTTCTATGTAGTAGCAGAGGGTGAATGCAGTCTTATTCATCTGATATATCCTGAAACATTTGATGTGTCTAGAATCCTACTCCTTCAGGGCAGGCTTCCTGCCAACTCTGGCAGTCATCTAAGTGAGCTACAACAGTACAGCTATAAAGGATCCAAAATCTTGTACAAGTTCAGACACCTCTTTACACAGTCACTTCCTGTACTATACAAAGGTACAGAATGCTTCTTTGTTTGTACAGATAAATCCACTTCCTACTGCATAGTCAACACAGTCAACATGAGGGAGTCAAGCAAGAGTTTCAAGCTTTTAGATTATGACTCTTAGAAATACTGCTAGTTTCCCAGTGAAAATA